TACACTACACTACACTCCCTTCCACTACACTTCACTACATTACACTACACTACCCTCCACAACATTACAACTACAACTACAAACCTTCTGTGAGGAGCTTGGCTTCTTCTGTGCACCTGATGGCGCTGAAGAGACTGACTCAGGGTGAAACAAATCATCGATGTTTCCACGAAAAGGCTTGGCTCGATCAAGGTCACTTCTGACGATGTCATCTGGGATCACGTAGTCCTCCTTGATCTTGTAGATGGTCTTGCCTTTCCAGAAATCTTCACTCTGATCAGAAAATCTCTTCCTCTCTGTGCGCCAGTTGTCCTTGTGAAGAACCTTCTTCTTGCTGTTCTGGTACTCGATGTGTGTCTCTCTCTCATCAATAAGAAGTTGATCTTTTGGAATTGGAGTTTCTTCTGATCGGTTCATCTCATGTAGATTCCTTCTCTTGTCCTTGTGGTGTCTGATGAGTTCACGACGTCGTGGATCAACCTGCCAGTAGTCAACAGTCACCAAAGCTTCTTCTTCATGAACATCTTGTTTGACAGCAATCTGGCTGTACTCGACGTGATCGTGTTGTGAGAAGAAACTCTTGACTTGAGGAGTCTTGAAATGAACTTGGCTCATGTACCATGCTACATCTTGTAGGTCGAGAATGAGATGAGTACTGATGGCCGTTCTCAAAACCATGTTTCTCCTGCCAAGACGTGCGCAGGACAAATAAGCCTTCTCTGGAGTAAGTTCAAATTGAAGTCCAAGGTTTCTCATCTGTGGAAGTGACATCAACAATGGGACATCACCTTCTTCGACAATGTCGAATTCTGTGAACTGAGTGTACCATCCATGATCATACATGAATATCACGAGCCTCTCAGTGCATTTGGATTGTTGAGAATTTGCAAAGAAGAATCTTGAACTTGTTGGCTGAATTTCATACCAGAGTCCACTGTTGGGATGTGAGTCAACATATCTGCAAAATGCTTCAACTGCTCGTCGAGAACCCATAGCTCTTGTGCATCCAAGATCCAGGATACATACAGTTGGTGGTGCAGACTTCTCTGTGTGAAAAGCTAGTCCTTTCTCACATGCCAGATCAATGTGTACAGTATGAAATGAAAAAGCACTCTGATTTGGTACCTCTGTCTCTGCAGAGCATCCATATGAAAGAAATGATGTGCCTTTTTCCAACGGCTTCCATGAAGCCTCACCTTCTTGTAAACCAACTTGCCTGGGCACACGTGCTGGACGTCGTCGTACACCTTGTCGAAGTGCATCAAGATCTCCAACCAGAACGGGGAACTTCTTGCGTTCCTCTCTGTTACGCTGTGCTGTTGCATCATGTTGGTTCTGTCCTCCACGACGAGTGCGTCGATGTACTTCTTCTTCTGCATACGTGGATGCCAAGGCATCAACACGTGCTGGTTCATTCTCTTCAAGAGCAAAGAAACCATGACCAGAGCTTGCTGCAGAAGAATAATGAGCTTGTTGCTGTTGTTGATTCTGCACGGCAGGAGTTGATGTGGTCTGAGGTTGAACATAGTTTGACTTGCCTTTTCCATCTCCTGGCTTTCCTCCTTTGCCATCATCATCCTTGCCTTTCTTGCCTTTCTTTCCTTTTCCTTTTCCTTTTCCTTTTCCTTTTCCTTTCTTCTGGAAGTATCCATACTCATGCATGTAGTACAGATCATCATAGGCCCAATAGCCTTCATTCCAGTTTTGATCATCGGCCCAATAGCCTTCATAGTTTTCATTCCATTCTTCTTCTTGCCAATCTTCTTCATAACCTTCTTCACTCACCATGTGAGAGCGGCCTTTTCTCCTTCCTTTTCCTCGGCCTTTTCCTTTCCTTGATCCGAAGAACCTTCGTCCTCCTTTGCATTTTCCTTTTCCTTTTCTTCTGCCTTTACCTTTGCCTCTTCTGGTCTGTCTGCCTTGGAACCTTCTCTGATACCATGTGTAGTCAGCGTCATCATAAACCCAGAAAACATCTTCTAAAGCATCCAGGAATCCTTCTGCGCCGTCTTCATCATCTTCGGCCCAATAGCCGTCGGTTCCTTCTAATTCACCTTCATCCAGAACGAGGAAAGATCTTCTCTGTGCCATGCCAGAGGGTTGCATCATTGGACTGTCAACTGCTGTTTTGGTAGTGCAAAACATTTCCAAAAACAGATCACGTAGTTCTTGAACATTGTACTGATCGAGGGTTCGTCCACGATGTGTCATGATACTTGTGAGTGTATTTCTCTGATCTTGACTCAGGTCAGCTAGACTTACAAAAATCAACGCTAGCAGATTGTCACCCAATGGGAATGCCTGTCTTTGTGCTGTTCTACGATTTGCATTGAAAAGTCTGAATGCCACTAATGCCAGTTCATCTGACCATGGGATGACAATGTGTGGGTCACCTCCTGGTAATGCTGCTGCTGCTTCAGCTTTTTCTTGTTGATCTCGTTCATGTTCTTGTCGTTGTTGCTGAACAAATAGGATTACATCAGAACTAGTGATCAAGGCATCTGGAAAGTAAATCCATCCAAGACTCAAAAAGTCTATTGCCAGTGAGTTGAAATCTAGTCATCCATTTCTGAAGATCCATAGTTCCTCTGTTGAACTTCATGAACTGCATGAAACGGTATAAGAACACGTTCTGGGCACCCTTGATGAAATGAGGTCGTAGAAATCTTTTGAAATAGTTCACTCCTTCATTGGGGTCTCTGAGCATATCTCTGTCCAATAACCTCTTGTATTGCTGAGCCTCTCCTTCCAGTCGATTGCGCAAAGCTGGACCACGTTTCTCAGGTTCTAACTCAGTGATGCCACACCAGTCATCAACTGCATCTTCAAAAGCAAAGAAACTGGTTCTCCCATCATATGCTGGAGCTACCTTTGTGGTCATTTGTTGCGTCAAGTGAATCTGTGTCTGCTGGGGGGCTCTTCTCATTGCGTAAGAGTCATATTGGTTCCATCCATCTGCATCGACAATGTCGAAGTCATCATCATAGCCATGGCTTGCCATTGCTGGGCTCTACCTGGAGCTCACCTTCAATGAAGGATCACTGCTCCGCTGCCACTTGAAGAGGGGCCCTAGCGTCTACTTCAAGATCAGCTAAGGCGTCTTCCCAAGACAGCTCACACTTTTACTCCCGGCCTGTTGCCAGTTAGTGGAGTGTCCACAGGGTTACTCTATATACCTCTTGAGCCTTGAGGGCGCATATACATGTGCCCAATACGCATGCATGTACCTCTGTAGGTATTGGTCCAAAAGAGAAACATGGGGTGGGGGGTGGGGTGGGGTGGGGTGGGATAATAACGTTCATGTTCCTGTACACACACAGGCACGGCAACCTCACTAAGCAAGGCACTGCTGTCTGAACCGTAGCCGAAACCCAGCTGGCAAGTTGTAAGGATTAAAAAAAGAGGATGGATGAGAATTCCATAAATCCATTCATCAGATTCTTGCACCACGGGCAGTTCCACACGTAACAAACGAGGACAATGTATTAGCAAGAGACCCCCAAACAGTTTGGGGCAAGTACAAAAAGTACTAGTGTGTAGATGAAAATGATGAAGATGATGACGATGATGATGATGACGACGATGATGACGACGATGATGATGATGATGATGAATATGATGACGGCAAAGAGGAGGAGGGAGGAGGATGAGAATGATGATGATGATGATGTTGTTGATGATGAGGAAGGTGCTGAGGAGGAAGACGATGATGATGATGACGATGATGATGAGGAGAAAGTTAATGATGATGTGCTAGGTATGTAAGTAAAGTTTCCACCCTAAGCCCTAAACCCTTCCATGGAAATACACGCTCGCTTAACAGCTACAAATCTAGTCGCGGTCGCGC